TTATACTGTACTACATCTCAGAGGTACTTATTGTACTTTATACTGTATTTTTACTGTACATAACATTTAGTTACAACACTACATCTCAGAGGTACATGTTGTACTTTATAATGTACTACATCTCAGAGGTACGTATTGTACTCCTTGCTGTACTACAAAAACAAGATATTAAGATTTGTATGAGAATCTGAAATACTGGAAAGAAACATTAATACATACTATTATAAATAGTAATAATTTCACAAAATTGAGCAAGGTGTTTCATTCCCAGTTGCCATCCTTGGAAAAGGAGGCGCAATTTAGATAATGTGTATATAATATAAAACAAACATTGGTACAGATAATGATTCTTACATGTTTATGCATCAAATAGTGTTAGTATTAATACTGCTGCACATACTTTTAAGGTATTTAATGCTTGATGTTGTACATGTAATGCAGTGTCTTTACAGTATTATAAGGGTATGTTGACATGAATACACGCTCTGAATACTTTCTCCTCCAGCGTCTCCCGGCCGGGTCCGTCTCCCCCTGCAGCCGGTCACATCGTCGGGCAGCAGCAGCTGAGCTCGTACCTGGAGACGGCTCTGAATGACGGCCCAAGAAACGTGGTGCTGTTCCTCCAGGACAAGGTCCACACACTTATTATGCTTCATCTGAATCTGTGGCTTTACAAGTACACGGGCTCTGAATACGTCATGTGACGATGTAACACTGAGAAGAGATGAGAGGCCTGTACTGAACACTGTAAAACGTCAGAACGTTGACGTTAATATTCTGAATCGACATCCGAATACTGCGCAGCTTTTTATTTTATGCATGTTTGTTCATTTTGTTCAAACCCAGTATTTCCTCTCTGTGTCGCATACAGATCAGGCTACACTAATATTATTATATTATATTATTAGTAAAATAAGTTTCCTGTGGTGGCTGCGTACGATTGCTTCAGACTCGAGTGATTCAAACATTTCCAGTAACTCCAGAACGTTGTAAAGTCTAAAAGTCAACATTTATTGGAAGAAAAGAAGATGAAATCATTTCACAGAAGATTCTGCTTTGTTGGCGTTTAGACTTTCAAAAACATTTTCACCGTTAATAAAAGGCTGACTCATTAAATCTGATGAGTCACTTTATTCAAATTGAGAATGTTATTTTAATTTGTTTAGGGTGATGACGTAATACAATATGGTGACGGACATTCAAAGATTCATTTAAAGAACCTCAATAGAAGCTTTGAATAAAAACAAAGAAACGTTTGGTACTTCGTGTTAAAATGACTCGTTCCTCTCACCTGCACTCAAAATCATATTTAATCTGATGATGATCCAAACGTCATTATAAACCCTCTAAAATGATATTTCTCTCCAGCTCTTCATTGTGACAGTGAGTTCTCTAGTTGAGATTGTGTTTCCTCGTCTCCTCAGATGAGCATCGAGGACTTCACCATGTACGGAGGAGCTTTTGGAAACAAGCAGGACACGGCTTTCCCCAACCTGGAGGTGAGATGATGCTTCATGTCTTAAAGCTGCATTCTCTCTGCTGTCCACCAGGGGGTGACTCCTCTGGTTGTATAGAAGTCTATGAGAAAATGACTCTACTTCTCTCTTGATTTATTACCTCAGTAAACATTGTAAACATGAGTTTATGGTCTCAATCTCTAGTTTCAAGTCTTCTTCAATACAGCATGATGTTCATTTAGTACATTATGGTCCATTTAGAGTCACACAGACCATAAAGCATTTTTTCTTGTGTTTCAACTTCCTGAGCCAAGGAAACATAAGAGGAAGCAACAAATCAGAGTGAAACGCATTTAAATATAAACAGACCAACAAGACGTGTGTTTGGTTCATTTATAACATGTGTGGGTCACATGTCACTGACAGATGTTTGGTCTCTCCTGTGTTCAGGGGGCTCTGATGTCCTCGTCCTCTCCTCTGGTGTTACCTGCCGTGTCCTGGCCCGCCTCCAATGCAGTGATTGGTCAGCTGCAGGACCAATTAGAAACCTCCCCTCTGTACATGGACCCTGAGACGCTGAGTCAGCTGAGACTCAACGCCTCCTCGCCCGCCCTGCTGGTGTTCAGGCTGCCGTACGGCATCGGGTAGGTTTGTAGACTGATGCTAGTAATGTACGAGTTCTGTATGGAAACCTTTATAGTTTTACTGACGGTGGTTCTCCAATATTCAGTAAATATTGCAGGATGTTTCTAGTCTCTTCTGAACTAAAGTATGATTTAATATTAACATGCTGTTGCACAAATATGAGACTAAAACTATAGAAACCAGGGAGGCGTCGTCGTGTTTAACAAACCACCAGATGTCACTGCTGCTGCTGGAGATCACCTCAGTGGACTCTTTATTTAACCTCCTCTGGTTATAGTTTCTCTCTCTGGCTTCTTCTTCTTCTTCGTTACTGTCTCACTGTCGTCTCGTCTCTCCTACAGAGCTGATCTGATGTCTGCTAAAGAGATTCTCAGTGGAAACGGTGAGTCTGTTCATATCAAAGCATTCAGAGAGCAGTTCTCATGTTTCTCCTCCTTTAATCTGTAGCTCGTCTGCATTTCTTTGTGTTGTAAAGATTTGTTTTATTTAAAGATGCAATATTTAAGATGCATAAATGTTTCCATTCATATATGAGAACAAAAACATGATGCATCATTAGGAATATATATACACGGGTAAATGGTGCTGAGATGTAAAACACACCAGTAATAATACATCAACCTATGATGAATGAATACACACATAACCTTGTTTTTCAGATGAGGTCATAGGTCAGGTGCTGAGCACCATGAAGACTCAGGCCGTCCCGTACACGGCCATCTACACGGCCCTGCAGCCCTCCAGGGTGAGTCTCTTCACTGGCACGGTGTCTTTAAACCGTCACCAACACTACACCGATCATCTCAGCCAGAAGCTGTGAACACTGTCGTTATTGTGAGATGTTCATCTTTCCCACGGTCCGTGAACACATCACGTGTGACAAACGCTTCAGTCAGAAAAATCAACCAGGAGGAAGCTTAAAACTGTGATATTTCACCAAAAAAGTTATTCTACATGTCTCTTTGTTTTAAAAATCTCTCCTCTAATAAAGCGTTCACTTAAACCACAGTGTGTAAAAACATTAAAGTGTGAAACTATGACGTCATGATTGATTCAACAGTCATGTGACAACAAGGAGGAGACACTCTGACTTAACTACAGAGAGGGGAGGGGAGGGGAGAGGAGGGGAGGGGGGAGGGGAGAGAAGAGGCGCTGAAAACATGTGAATAGTTCAATGAATATAGAACGTAAAGCCTTTCTTTTACATTAATAACACTTGTAGACACTTGAAACATTTTGGATGTATAGATTATATTGTTTTTCCAATTTTTGTAAAATGTCTCAAAGAAATTCCACTTTAGTTTTTTCCTTTTAATGATTGATGTCATCATAACTGTGTTGTTCTGCACTAAAGACATGTTCTAGTTCTCTCTACTTCTATCATGATGGTTCTGTTTCACAGAGAGAAACATGTGACCGGAGCAAGAGAAGACGCCTCGACACTCCTCGAGGTTCAGAGTGTTCATCGTGTGTCTGTGTCTTCTCAGGAGGCGGCGTCTCTCTCCATGGAAGCCGGCCTCGGGGGAGGACGCTCTCTCCTGCAGGCCAAAGGAGGCTATCGGGAGAGGGAGAGAGAACGGGAGAGGCAGCGCAGGATCAAGGAGAAGGCTGGGATCTACGCACCGGTGGAGTTTAAGGTGGAGTCACTCATCTCATGTCTTCTGCATCTTCATTCCTGCATGCTGCTGTTCATTTAGCCGTAAAACTGTGTGTGTGTGTGTGTGTGTGTGTGTGTGTGTGTGTGTGTGTGTGT